TTTTTTTTTTTTTTTTTTGGATTAGAGTCATATAATCTGGAAAGAATTTGTAAGGTTGATATTCTTTCAAATGGTTATTGAAAAAGGGAAGAAGTATATTTGGGTGAAATATCAAGGCATAGAATGGAAAAATTGTGTTAAACGGGTTGTTATAGAAATATATATGGATGCATCATTGGAAAGTAAGCTGGAAAATAAAGTTGATTTTGAGATGTTTAGAGAGAACAGGGCAGCATAAAGATAAGTTTTGAGGTTGAGCAGAGAAATTTGTTAACCTTACCATTTTTTTAACTTAAGGGGAATAGGTCAAAGAGCCAACCGACAAAAACATTAGTAATGTGAAAGAGTGACTCCAGAGAGGTGTGGCTGGAGTCAGCAGAGAGTAATCTGAAGTAGTATGTTTGGAAGATGCCAGAACCAAAGTAGCAAAATTATTTGGGACTGAAGGCAGTAGATACAAGCAGACTCATTTTTTTCAAAGAGATGATAGGTTTTCTCAACTCTGGAAAATAAAGAGATGGCTCTGGAAGGCCATCATCCTAACCTGTGCCAACATCATCCAAGATTTTTATAAAAATGAGGAAATTAAAAAGGTGTCGGACCTTGGTTTTTGATGTCATGTGAGCTTGTCAAGAAACTTGGAAACCAGTCTTTGTAGTCACTGCAGAATTTTTGTTTTTACTTGAAAGTCTTTGAAATTTTTCATCTGTTGCAGTGCCAGAATGGCATACCTACCAAGAAAGAAGGAAAGATCCAGTTTTGAGAAATATTAGCTCATTCTGTATTTTTAAAATTTTACTGACTGAATTCTTTTTCATGCTTACTGTGTGCCACGTACTGTACTAAAGGACATGGGTTTTAGAAAAAAGATTCAAAGCTCAAGAAGTTTAAATTTTAGAGGCAGACAGACTAAACAATAACAGTACTGATTGATAATTACCGTCATGCAAGGTACATTGGTACAAAGAAGAAGTATTTTCTTCAGTCGACTTGTAGCGTCCAGGAAGTCCTTTGAGGAGGTAATGTTTGAAATGAGAGCAAAGATGTTGAGAAAACAGTTTGTTCAGGGAATATCAAGTAAGGCTGGAATGTAACATGGGTGGAAAGAGGTTAGGCTGGAAAATTGACAGGGATCAGGCCATGAAGGACTGGATTTGCCACATTTAGAGTTTAGATTTCATCCTGTAGGCATTTGGGAGCCAGTAGTGCTAAAATGTCTCTCGTACTTTGGACATGTTATCAGGTGGGACCAGTCCCTGGAGAAGGACATCATGCTTGGTAAAGTGGAGGGTCAGTGAAACAGAGGAGGACCCTAGGCAAGATGGATTGACACAGTGGCTGCAACAATGGGCTCAAACATAGCAATGATCGTGAGGATGGCACAGGATCAGGCAGTGTTTCATTCTGTTGTAAATACGGTTGCTATGAGTCGGAACTGACTCAACAGCACCTAATAACAACAACAGTGCTAACATCAAATGTGTACAAATCAAAATGTTCTGTCAGCCTTTACCTGTGACTATATGAACAATCAGAAACCTTTGCTGATATTGAAGAACCAAAATGTACTTCAAAGGACAAAAAGCTATTGAGGAAACCAGTCAGCAACTAGTATTGTTTGAACACCTTGTAGAATGTAATCTCTATTACATAAAATCTGGTAGTTCTGCTAATAGTTGACCAGGCTCAAGTTCTTACGTTTAGTGTAAGATATAAGTAAGTGGCATACACACATTTTTCCATACCTGGGTTTAGCTTTTATACTTGGGGTACGTAGGTAGAAATGGCAAGATAAATTTTGCTGAAACAATACTGGAATCCAAGAATTCAGTGGGTCACATGTTTCAAAAGATAGTCATTAAAAGAAATAGAAAGGCAAGCAAGCATTGAGAAATTGAAAGAAAATCATTTCTTATTTTGAAGAAAAAAATCAGGAAATTCTTAAAAGGAAGCAGCATTCGAGAATAGAAAAGTTAACCACTCTCTAAAGATCGTACCTCACAGAATAAATTATAATTATAACTTTCTATCCTTGATTATACATAAATACAGGCCACAAGACTGACTTTGAATAGGAAGAAAACATTTAAGTTATGTCCAAGGCCAGGGCTTGGGTATTTTCATTATTGACTAAAAAGTCCTTCCAGAATCTTTTTCAGTGGATAACACAAGTCTCCTGAGCCAACTTCTGAGGATCAGCTAGGATTTTCAGAGATACTAATGGCACTTCACCCCAGCCCTGAGATAGTTGAGGGATTCCCAAGCTAAATCATTCTAAAGAGAAGGAAAAATTTTTGCAGTGTTTATTGTTTGAAAGTTTCTTTCTTCTAAGACCAGTTTGCCCCTCCTTTTCAGCAGAATTTAGGCTTTATATCACTCTTCAGAAATACTACTTATTTTGGATTTTGGCCAGGTTGGGTAGTGCTGAAAATAACTGCATGTCAAGTTTGTGGTTGGAATTAAATTTTTGACCTTTAAGTGTGCCCTCAGAAGCAATATCAGCATTAGTATTTGATTCTGAAAATCAGTTTTGAACTTGGTCACTTTTTAAAAAATCTATTGTTTTCTTACCAGTTATCTGTAAAGCATCTTAAAAGTTAGCATTTTAGAAGTTTGCTATATTACTTTTTTGGCAAATAAAACAATAGCCTGACTTCTAGCTCTTTGCCTGAGAATGCGTAAAAATAGAAAACGTAGCTCAATTTAAAGCGGGAACTTTAATTTCTCTGTCTTAGTTCTGCGTGGCTTCTCTTGAGCTTTCATAGAAGTGTGCTCTGCCCTTTCTATTGAAAGCACTCTAATGGGTTTGTTTTTGCATTTTTTTCTTGTTTTGGGTGTTCTCTGTATTTTAGTATAATTTTTCCACATAACTGTGTCTTTTTTCTTTAAAGTGAGAAAGCATTGAAAGTGCCAAGTGCAAATAGGAGGGATTTGAAGAATAATATATTAAGAATTTAGTCTCTCTGGTGGAAAGTATGAGTCGGAATTGACTCGACAGCAGTGGGTTTGGTTTGGTTTGGTTTTGGTGGAAAGTATACAGCTTTAGGGTTAATGCAATGCTGCCTCCCCCTCCTCACCCAAATACTCTTTCTCCTTTTTCCTGTATCCAGTTTCCATGTCCTGTTCTTGTGATAGGTGCTCTTCTTGTTTAGGAATCGGTGGCTATCATAGAGTTAGCAATGATCTTCATGCCCACAACGCTTAAAAGAACTTGATATGAAATAAGAGAGCTTAATTTTAAGTGGAAGAAACAATTTTCTCATAATTTTGTAGTCTTCACAAGAGTCTTTATAGCTGGAATTAAAATTGATGTGTCCATTTCAACACCGACTTTCCCTGTGCTCGAGTGCGGCTTTTCAGTGCAGTAACCACTAGCGATGTGTGGCTGTTTAAATTTAGATTAATCCTGTTGCTGTCACGTTGCTTCCAGCTCATAGTGACCCTGGAGGACAGAGTAGAACTGCCCCATAGGGTTTCCAAGGCTGTAATCTTTAGGGGAGCAGACTGCCACATCTTTCTCCCACAGAGCAGCTGGTGGGTTCGAACCTCCGACCTTTTGGTTAGCAGCTGAACTTTAACCACGGCACCACCAGGTCTCCCAATTCAGACTAATTATGATTAAATAAAGTGAAAATTTCAGTTTCTCAGTTGCACTGACTGTATTTCAAGTACTCAATAGCCACATGTAGCTAGGGATTACTGTACTGAGTAGTGCAGACATGGAACATTTGGTCTGATTATTCAGCTTCAAAGTCTGAATCTTTTCTCTAGACAGTCTTTCTCTTTTTCTTTTGTCTTTTAATATTCTATGAAATTCATTCTACAGTCTTTAAGAAAGCCTAAGTTATGAAATATTGCCAGAATTTTTTAGACTTTGAGAGTTCAAATAAAGGTGAGATTTAGTAGAAATTGTGGGCGTTTTAAGGGTAAGGGAGGAATTTTCATTGATACGTGTTGAGACTGTGCTGAAGAGTGAGCTCCTGAAGATGGTAGAAGTAAGGAAACAGTGGCTCTGGAGCTTAGAAAAGGAAGTGTATGTTTGGCTCAAACTGAAAGCAGAAAAAGTTACGGCAGCAGAACTAGGGGATAGTCAGTGAGTTACAGTCATTATGAACCTGCCCTTTTATATTCTGATTGGCTGAGAAACTGTACAGGTGAACGATTTTAGAAAAACTAGATTATAAATTTGGGATTATCATACTTTTAAAAAGTTTGTTATGCTGCAAATGTACAATCAGAAAATATTCTTAATTCTTACTAATCCTGTCAAATATTAAACTCACTAATTTTCATCCCATTCCCCCAAAACTGTTGACTTCCTAGTCACAGGAATTATACATTCTTAGTAATTTAGTTTTAAACGTTATTATATCATCCTAATAATAATTTTCTTTTTACCGGATATAGGACTTTCTCGCTGATGGAAATGTGTTTTATTAGTTAAATTTTATTTTTATGGCAGTAGAGATAGAGTGTTGCAATTTGATGTAATAAAGGCACAGACTATACAACAGCTTTGCTAAATTTCTCAATGATCAAAGAGCAGTTTTTCTTTTTGTGAGTGTATTGTCTTCACTTGCGGTTCAGTAATTGGCCCAGGAGCTGCATCTGAGCAGTACAAGGCAGCGCTGTCTGTTTTGTATGCGCTTCTCATTTGATAGCAGCAAGAACACAGTTACTCTAGTGGTTGGATTGCAGTGTACCTTCAGCGATGGAGATGGAGGCAGAGGTTAAGATGCATGGTAAACTCTTAGTACCGACTGAGAAAAAATTAGGTTTGCATTTTGATATTTTTAATTTCTATCGAGCTTTAAAAGCTCCACAGTAGGGAATTGCCACCTTTATTTCACTTGTACACGTGTACCTGCATGTACCTCCTTAAGTTTGCCCCTGATAACTTTGTTATTTCAGAAACAAATCCAATATTTAGTTATTACTGTATAAATGTTTGACTGGGCCACAAAAGTAGGTTTCTTTTATTAAGATTGATAGGCTGAAGATGTGAGAATGAATTGTAAGCTCGAAGTAAAAATTGCTTTAAACATTTTTTTTTTCCCAAGAAGAAAGGCTGTGTTGTTTGGTGGTGGCCAGGGGCCTACTGAGCCTTTTGGCCGTATTCCGAGTTCTGCCACTGACTCACTGTGTTTTTTGGCAAGTAACTTACCCTCCCTGAAACAAGTTCTTGATTCTTTACTTCTCTATTTGTCAAGTTAGTATAATAATATTGTACTGACCTCAGATGGGTTGTGTAATGGTTTCCCGCTTTACAACTTTGCAGCACAAAAATAGTGTGGATTTTCAGTGCTTTGCTTTTTTAAATAAGTATTTCTAAATTGTTACCTCTTTATTAGGTATGTTAGAGAGACTGTTTAAATGCCCAACAGAACAGAACCCTCACTATACTGTTCAAAACATAGCCAGGTTTTTTAGCCCAGTGAGTTTTTAACTATTTACAACATTTTAAGGACTGTACCCTGTAAAGTATGAATGATCATGATCATTTTATTCATTTCTTTTAGTGTCAGAAAAAAGAAGAATTTATTGAAAGAATTCAGGGTTTAGATTTTGATACAAAAGCAGCAGTTGCCGCACATATTCAAGAGGTAATAACCTGTATACAGTTTTTATATGCTTTTATTAAACTTGTGGAGTCTTTGTGTATCTCCCAGAATATTTAAAATCAAAGCATAAGCAAGAACAAATCAACATAGAATATAAAGGAGCGTGCTTTTGACAAGTTGTCTTCTCTTTAGAGATAGTTTCTTAAATGAATCATTTTATATACGGCACAGTGCTAACTGCAAATGTACTGTTGCCTTTATCTGTAGGGACATAGGCAGGAAGCGTTGTCTGAGGAATGAAGTGTATGTCTTTGTTAGCACAGAGCGAATAGTATAGTTAATGGAAGCAGCAGAAAGTGGAACACCGCCTGTAATTCAAAACTTCGGTGCGGTAAGATGATAGCTGAATATTATGTCATTACAGTCTTTCGAATGGATGGACATAGCATAATTTTATTGGTAATATTAATTGAATTACAAATACGTTAATGATTTGTAACATAAAAACTTAAATCTACAGTGTCAAATAACTGAAATTAATATATTTGCTAAGATTGGTTTTAGAAGATGCTACTTTTCCATCTGTCCTCGGGCTTTTAGTGTTGTGTACTTAATAAGACTTTTTAGAATTAGAATATGTTAAATTCTACATATTGATTAAAAAGACTAAGCAAAGGGAAAGGAGAGAACTTTTAGTAGTGAAAATCTGTAGCGTTTAGATTTTTCTCTGCTTAGAAGACGTTTTGTTCCACAGATCTCTTTTCCCTTAGTGGCTGCTTACACAGCCCAGCTTGCTGGGCAGCAGTACATGCATTAGCACTCTCCCAGGTGGAGTTTGATTGGTGGAGTCTCCCTTTATATGTCTGTTTGTTTATGGTAGCTTTATGCTTTGCATTCATTTTGAATAAATGCCAAGTACTGCAAGTTGATAAGTTTGCCACCATTCTTGAAAGTGCTATTGTTGCTGTTTATTGTGAAAGTTAGAGAAAAATATAAGAACCACAGCAAGAAATGGAAAGCAAGAAATAAGTATTTCACTTATATAACTTTTCCATTTTAAAAATGTTTATAATGGAATTCTTTTCTCTTTTTGCTTTTGAATTCAAGTTCAGTAAATTTAAATAGATATTTCCTGTGGATTGTTAGTGGGGAGGATACAGAGTTTTTCTTCTGTAGATTTTCTGGAGGTTCTATAAGAAGAAGAAATAAAATGTTTTGAGAGTGATAATTAAGTTTTATCAAAAGAAAAGGTCAATTGGTTTTGTTAAAGCGGTTGTGTCAGGCGTATCAATGTTACTTTCCTTTAGGAATGCCTTGAGTTAAATATTTTCTCTCTTGTTGACTAGAAAATAATACTAATTCATTTAAAAATTATATCTAGTTAGAAATAATATTTAGTAGAAGTCTTTTTATCATTATTTTCAGATGTCCTTTAGATATCATATTTGGGTTTTATGTTTTTATTGTACTGAAATAAGTTTTTAAGCATTAGCTTTTTTTTTTTTTTTTTTAATTTGGTTTGTTTTTCTAAAGGTAACACATAATCAGGAAAATGTGTTCGATCTACAGTGGATGGAAGTGACTGACATGTCTCAGGAGGATGTAGAACCACTCTTGAAAAATATGGCATTGCATCTAAAAAGACTTATAGATGAGAGAGATGAACATTCAGAGGTTTGTAAACTCCTTTCAGTGTGTATGAAAGCTTGCTTTTCGTTAAAGACAATAGTAGCTGTAGAGCTTTTTCTGAATTGATAATCTGTTTCTTAGAGACAGGTAATAAAGTACTTTGTCTTTTTTGTGGAACTCAGAAACCAGAAAGGAGCCATAAAAGTCTTAAATTGCTAGTAAACAATTTGCGGTTAGATTTTCTTTTCTCCTTTCCTTCTAAATTATTATCCTGATTTTTTTCCCTGAGTGTTTTTCAAGTCATCCCCACAGCTCTGGCAACAGTGCAGAAGTGGGAAACTGAAAATATAGTTGAAGTAAGTGGAAAAATCATCGCCGTGAAGCCTGAGAATTTGCTGAAGGTTAATTTCTTAGTTTTATCGCCACATTTTGAGGGTGGAAAAATAAGTGTTAATAAAAGGACAATAACAGGTGTTCCGAATAAAATGGCGCACGTAAGCTCCTTTCAGACAGTACTTAGCTTTTTAAAAAGAGTGAAATCGCACCAAAGTTTCTGTCTGCCCCCTCTGAAAGCAGCTTATAATTTTAGAGGAGTCGAGACTTCAGTGCCCGTGGTGGTGAGTAGTATTTTCTTAATAGCAGACAAAGTGCTCTAGCATTAAGGGAATATACAGCTTTGATCAATTATTCCATTTAGTGGGAGAGACAGTTTTGAGCTTATTTCTAGAGAATTTGTATGATTAATCTTGGGACTAATGAAAGACTATATAAAGGAAATTCCTGAAGGTTTTTTTTTTTTTGTTTTTCCTGAGCCAAACTTTAACGTCTCTATCAAGTATATTCAGTTCTGAAGGAAATTTTTAGTCTTTCTCCAGGCATTGAAAGAGAAGAAAATATAAGGAATAAATAAACATTTTAGAGCAACAATTAAAAAATAAAAGCCAGGGCAGGGCAGGAGGAGAAGAGAGTGAGTTGAAAAACATTCCTCCAGACCCCGTTGCTGTTGAGGCCATTCTGACTCATAGGGACCCTATAGGACAGAGTAGAACTGCCCCATAGAGTTTCCAAGGAGTGGCTGGTGGATTCGAACTGCCAGCCTTTTGGTAAGCAGCCAAGCTCTTAACCACTGCACCACACGGAGCCCTGGTTAAGTGGATAGGAAGGAAAGAGAGGGCTTATTAAACTAAAGTTATGCTTTAATGACATTTTCTGTCAGATTTTTTTGAAGATGTGTAGGAGGCCTTGAGTTCAAAAAACTACCACCATTAGTAGAGAAAAGTCAAAATGTCTCAATAATCTTAGTGGAAAACACCTGTAATATTCTTAACTCTTGGTACCAGGCTTCTTTTTTTCATTTTTATTTTTGAAGCCCATAGATTTTTTTGTGTGTGTGTATGTGTGCACGCACACACGCGTGTTCTACTCATTGGCATCTGGAGCCTCTTTGTTTTTTTGCCATTGTTATTATTATTTTCAATAATATTTTGCTGTGATTCTGGTGAAGGTTTACACAGCAGTTTAGGTTCCTACTCAACTATCTGGAAGCTCTTGATGTCTCCATTTCACCATCTAAGATGAAATGTAGCATCTGCCTTCTGGACTTTACTATATACTTTTGTTTCTCCGTTTCCTATAGTTGAATATTTTTGAGTACGTCTTTTTTGTGCTTAGTACTGTGCTAGGTAAGATGAGAGGATCAAACAGTTAAGCACTCGACCACTAGCTGAAAGGCTGGCAGTTCAGACTCACCCAGAGATGCCTCAGAAGACAGCCTGGTGGTCTGCTTCCGAAAGGTCACAGCCTTGAAAAAACCTATGTAGCAGTTCTACTCTGCACACCTGGGGTCTCTGTGAGTTGGAATTGAGTTGATGGCAGTTAACAGCAACAGGTAAGATGAGAGATACAAAAGAGGAATAAGAAAGATTGTTTCTGGTTTATAAAAAAATCACATTACTTGCCAGTGAAAAATACAAGCTAGCATATAATTAAATTGTCATATGCACATGAAACAAATATTTGTTAAGTCCTTACTATGTGCCAGATGCTGTTCTAGTGCACATTCAGGAGTGAAAAGAAAAAGACCAAAATCTCTGTTCCAATGGAAGTTGTGTTCTAACGTGTCATACCGTATGTAATTGTGAGTGCTCCAGTGGAAGTTAGAGTGAGGAGAACAGACTGGTGGCAGCATGGAGTTGGAAGTAAATACAGTAAATTCAAGGAGTGAATATTGCTGGAGTACAGGCACATAACCATGCTGGTAAAACCCATCTGTGATCACAGATCTCCGATGACCACTTAGCACTGTAGCAGTTCTGCTATAAACCAAGGAAAAAAAACAACCCTGTGGCCATGGAGTTGATCCCGACTCCTGGCGGCCCCATGTGTGTTAGAGTAGAACTGTGCCCATAGGGTTTTCAGTGGCCTAAAACAAATTCAGTTAGTGCTGGTTTTGCATGCGTACAGAGAACACAAGAGGTCTTCAGAAAAAGGAGGCAGAGAGATTGAACTCCGTTTAAGATATCACTCTTGGGTGTACTGCCTCATAAATCATTTTTTACAAGTATATAAAGTCAATATATTGTGAAGATTAAGGATGTGCACCTCTGATAGAATGAAAATGTATTTGCACCTCTGCTATAGAAAAAATAAAAGAATCAGCTGTCCTAATGTCACACCACTGGGTAATTACAGCTTGAGATAAAGCTTCTAGTGGCTGCTATATCTCAAATGATTGTGAAGTGAGTGGCTTTTCTGAAAAACTGTTAAATGACTAAAAAAGTATCTCTAGATGATAAAGATTAATGTTAAACATGCATGTGAAAATTATTTCATGAGATGGGAAGGTTTCTAAATTAGTGTATTTTGTATATTTAAAATGTGTTAATTAATGATTTAAGTATTATATGTAGATGGTTTACTATTTCATGTCTGTAGCTCTAAAAGTTAGCCTAAACACTTCATTTTAATTTTCCCATTAGGTTTACCTTATATTTTGGCAGCTATAGTATTGAGTTTTTGTTTTTTTTTTATTGTGGTAAAATGTATATAACAAAAAGATTGTCATTTTAACCATTTTTAAGTGTACAGTTCAGTGACGTTAATTACATTCACTATGTTATAGTATCATTTGACTGCCTAACTAGAATAGATAGTGGTTTAGGCAAGGAGAACAGCTAATAGAAGGTCTTAAAAACCATGCAAAGAAGTTTAGATCTGAAGTAGTAGAAGTACAGAGCTAGTAAAGAATTTTTAGCCAAGAACTAATATGAATGGTGGTAGACAGAATCGACTGAAGAAAAGAAAGTAAACCTGAGAATCAGCTAGACCATCCACTGTTAGAGTAATGGAAGTCTGAGATAACGAAGGTCCAGGCTCAGGAGGGAGTATAAGAGGTGTTAGAAGGCAAGACCAAAGGTAATTGGAACAGTAAGAAAATATACAAATAAAAATTGACTCCAAGGAGATGGAGCCTGGGCTAGTATGGGGATTGGTGATGCTATTGACAGAGACAGGGAAGCTGGGATGGGCATACTGGGTAGGTGGTACGATGAAGTACTGTCCATGGACATGTAAACTACTCTTCAAGAAGGGCAGTGAAAGGGAAAGAAATAGGAAGATAGCCAGAGAGGAATGTGATTTTTTTTCCTCAAGATAGAAAGAAAACTTGTGTTTTTTTGAAAAGCGGGAGAAAAAAGCCAATAGGAAGAAATAAATGGAAAGTGTTAGGAAGTTTAGAAATTGAATATGTGTTGGGAGCCAAAAATGCATAAGAATAGAGGAGTTAATCCCAAGTGGTTTTGTTTCTTTGGCAAGTTGGAGGAGAGCTCCTTTGCTGGAACTGACGATAGCAGTTTGTAGTTGGATGCTTAAATAGAGAAAAGAGAATATATCTCCAACAGTCATCATGGGAAATGTACCAGGAAGTCACAAGGTTTCAGTAAAAGGATTGATGGGCTATGGAAAGAGCTTAATTGAAAATGGACGGCAAAAATTGTAGCGAGGCTATGTAATTTTTGTTTTTCTCTTAAGGCAGGAGTAAGCTGAAGAGTGTGTCAGTTTTAGAGGCAAACTTGAATTTGAATTTGAATTCTGGCTCTGTCATTGGTTATGTGACATTTATGTAATTTGTATGAACTCTCAGTTTCCTCATGTCTAAATAGACATAGTACCTCTATCGTAGATACAGTATTCAATGAGATTGTCTTGGAAAATTCCCTAGCTAGGAGGTCTGTAATGTTCACTCCCTTTTCCTTCTCACTAAAGAGCGAGCAATGGTCAGAGAATGGCATAGCAGTGTTAAATTAAAAGTCAGGGTGACATTTAAGGAACTAATTGTGGTTCTAGGCTGAGTAGGAACTCCAGAGTAGCCAGAAGTAATTGATTGGGTGAAAAGCAAGAGGAGAGGAGTTGAGTGATCACAGGCTCAGGCGTGGGTGAAAATAGACTCGAGACGTATGGTGACATGCGTGCAAAGATAGCAAAGGACGCATGGCACAGGGGAGGGGTCGGTGCTTGTGCTGGGGAGACCTGTGTGCAGGTGGAGCTGTGGCTCATCGACACGCATACTGAAATCTGTGAAACAAACAGTTGCAGGCAGGAAGATGATGCAGACCTTGATACAGTTGCTGAAATATATTCCAAAGGTAAAGAAATAAAGTCCGGTGGATGGTTTAAAAAACAACAATAACGAAAAAAATAATGATACAATGAAGGCAGTAAAAGATTTGGTGATGAGTTGAGTTTGCAGGGCAAGGATGATGGTTTTGTGGTCCCAAAGTGGTAACCCCATCTATTCTGTCTGGAGTAATAGGACATTTGAAATTGCTATAGGTGAAGACAGTTTCTTTTTGCCTGAGAAGTTTGAAAGAAAACCTGAGAAACTGGATTAGAATAAGAGAATTTACCAATAAAGAAAAGAAAAAATTAGGGAAATGGAGGAATATGATTGAGTGAGATCACATATGGGTTAACTAGCCCTTAAAGTTCAGATGTAGGAAAAGGAGAAAGAGGTTTGAGCTCTATAAAGGGTCTCTGGAGGAAAGAATAAAGGAATCACTTAATTGGAAGTGGTTTGTGATGGGAAGCGTACTGGAACTAGCGTAGGAGAGAGAGCGTCAGATATGGAGTCAAGAGGCCGGTCTGGAATCTTGGCATGCTGTTAACGAGTCGTGTAATCCTGGACAGTTCAATCTCTCTGCGCCTCATTTACCTTACCTGCAGAATTAAGAGATTGGACTAAGTCTCTGAGGTCCCTGTAAGTTCCTCATTAGGTCGCTTTGATATTCCAGTTTATGATTCTAGTGGAATACTGTCCAGTTCGGCGATGATGGGAAGGTGGTATTTCTGAGCTGTCCAGTATGGTAGCCACTAGCTACACGTGACTGCTGAGCACTTAAAATGTGGATAGTGAGAATGAAGAAATGAATTTTTAACTTTCTAGAATTAAATAGCCACATGTGCTACTGGCTACCATATTGGACAGCACAGTTTTAGACAAATTACTCTTGATTTAAGTAATCTTGGATTAATTTCTTTCCTGTGTCAACAAGTTTTTTATGCCTTTCCAACATTTGTTATCTCATGTAGTTATCACAGTAGATTGTTTTGTGAAAAAATTAAGAAGGAAAAAGGTATTAAATCTTGTTCTAGTGTTATTTACTAAGCTCATCCATGAACTGTTGAGTGAAATTTTTTTGACGGATAGCTAGATATGACAAAGTTATTTTTGACCAATGAGTTGTTTTGGGCGTTGTAGTACAATACTAGATCTAATGACTAGTGTTGCTTTGTTTAGTTCTCTGATACGTAGAACACTAAGAGTGATTCTGTGTTTATCTGTAACTCCTCAGACTATAATAGAACTCTCCGAAGAGCGAGATGGTCTTCATTTTCTGCCCCACGCCTCTTCATCTGCACAGTCACCCTGTGGTTCTCCAGGCATGAAGCGAACAGAAAGTCGACAGCATCTGTCAGTGGAACTGGCAGATGCTAAGGCCAAGATAAGAAGGCTTAGGCAGGAACTGTAAGTTACTGATTTCAAGGCTCATTGAATTATTATGTTCACAGAGGTTACCTAAACATTTTTAGGCTAATGGAATATAGATTCATGGTTCCCAGTAGCTAGCCTGTGTCAAAGTTTTCACCAGTATTTGTCCAAATGACAAAAATAAGGAGACTGGCATAGTTGTTACTAGTGCTGAATCTTTTCAATTTAAAGGATGCCGTTTGTTTTTGGATTTATTTTCTTCCTATCTTTTTGAGTTTTAAAATGTCCTTTCTTTTATAAAGTAGCATCCTTTCCTGTCAAATTGGGCTGTTCTTAATTTTTTCTTTTTACATTCCTTGAAATCTGAAATTCTGGAGACCTCTGACGTAGATCAGTAAGTTTAGCTCTTTTAAAACTATTGTTACAAAAACTGAATTTTTGGCATATATTATCACAAAAAAAACTTAATTTTGAGTGTATATCTTCTGCATTTGTTTGTATATCTTCTGCATTGAAATGTCTAAATAATGTACTTAGTAAAGGTAAATATTCAGATTTAGTTAGTACTGATGCCATTATATTTATCTAACTTTCAAATATCATTACAGAAAAGTCAGCAAAAATGTCACATTGGCATTCCTTGGAGAACGGCATGTAAAGAAATGCCTAGCCCCTGTGTGGGATTTTTTATTTTGCACTTTAAAAAGAACAAAGGGTTTTTTCCAGGGGGAGGTTGTTTTTCATGGGATTTGAGCATCAGGGTGAAGGTTTTAAACTTAAAACCACAATATAGGGCTTACATTTATGTACTGATTATTTAAAGCATTTTAAGAGTGGATGAATCTGCAAGGTAGAAAAATATTATATTCTGTAGGAAAATTTGAAAACAAAAAGATGGAGCTTTCATTTGTGGATGTCTGCGTTACTATGTATCTATTGAAGTGAACACGCCCAGGATATTCTGTAAACAGCTGCACCAGGAAAATTAGGAAAGAGATTGCTGTTATTAGTTTGACTGGCAGTTAATGGATGGCCTCAACAGTGCACACTAGTTCGTTCCATATAATTTAGCACAATCTTCTCCAGTCTTTAGATAAAGCATGCAATTAGAATTGCAATGATGGCTGTGAATTCATTTAACATTTTGCACTATATTAGAATTTAATTTTTAAATAAATTTTACTTGTTCGTGGATGTATTAAAATTTCCAGCAACTTAGAATGATAAAACTTGGTTCCATATATGCTGATAGGAAAATGTAAATGCATATATTCAGTGAACAAATAACATGCCAGATACAGGAAGTATTCCCGATAACTAGCATTTCATCAGATACCATCTAATATCTTTGTTGTCCTTGGAAAAGGTGTTCCTTCTTTGATTTCTTCCATTAACACTTGTTTTAAGCTCTTTTTGTTGGGACAGATTTTCACTAAAGTGAATGAAGTACAGAGATCATGGTGGAAAAATAGTCCAGGTTGCCTTATACCTAATGGAAACAACAGATAAATAATTACAATGAGAACATGCAAACTGACTAATAGCATTCACATTTATGGGTGGTACATCATAATATAATTGCTCTTGATATATAAACATACATAGTCAAAGTGTAATTTGCCATGGCTGGAAGAAGGAATTCCTTATAAATTTCACTTTTAGCAATAGTTAACACTGTCAAACCACCAGTTGCTGTCAAGTCGACTCGAGTCATGGCGACCGCATGTGTGTCAGGGTAGAACTTTGCTCCATAGGGTTTCCAATGGCTGATTTTTCAGAAGTAGATCACCAGGTCTTTCTTCCAAGGACCCTCCAGCTGGATGCAAACTTCAGCCTTTTGATTAGCAACTGAGCACATTAACATTTGTACCACCCAGGGACTCCAACACTGTCTAAAGACTCGCTTTAACGATTCTCTCTGTCTCTGTAGATCCCATATTTTGAAAGTTTCCCTTCTGCAAACTATGAACTATTCTTTAAAAAAAAAACGGCTTTATTGAGATGTAATTTACATACTAGAAAATTCATCCTTTTGAAGTGTATAGTTCACTAGTTTTTAGTATAGTCGCAGAATTATGCAACCATCACCACCATTTAACTTGAAAACATTTTCATCACCCCAAAATGAAACCCCATCCCCATTATCAGAATATGCAATATGTGGCCTTTTGTGGCTGGCTTCTCTCACTTGCATAATGTCTTCAAGGTCCATCCATGTCGTAGCAGGTATCAGGACTTGATTTCTCTTTATGGCTGAGTAATAGTCCATTGTATGAGTAGACCACATTTTACTTATCCTTTCATCAGTTGATGGACGTTTGGATTGTTTCCATTTTGGGGGCTATTGGGAATAATGCTGCTATGAACATTCGTGTGCAGGTTTTTTGTTTTCTTAAAAATATACATAACAAAGCATGCAGCCATTCAACACTTTCTGCATGTACAGTTGAATGACATTGGTTACATTCTCTGCACTGTGTCACCAGTCTTACTCTCTCTTGCTACCCGTATTGTTTCATCACCATTAACTTAGACTCGCTGCCCCTGTACTTCTCCTCTGTGTTTTAGAGTTACTGTTGTCAATTTGATCTCATATACGTAATTCTTTAAAAGAACACAAAGCTTAAGGTAAGCATTCTTTATTAGTTGACCTAAACTCTTGTTTAATTTAAGAATGACTTCGTGGGATAGTTTCGGTTGAAGACTTAAAAATTATTTCAGGGCAGTAGATTCGGGAGTTCCCCCAGTCTCAGTAGGTCCAGTAAGTCTGGTATGTAGAAGAATTTGAAGTTCCGTTCTGTATTTTTCCTCTTTTTGATAGGAAACATTCAGTAATGGTAGCCAGACACCATTCCCTTCTCATGGCAATGGATGCGGTAGTTCAGGGAGACAATTAGACCTACAGTCCATTTCCTTCTCCGATTGTTGGGTCTCCATCTTCCTCTGCTGTTTCAGGAGAACAGAGAACAGTTGTATCTTGGATGGCTACTGGAAAGCTTTTAAGACCCCGCGCACTACTCAGCGAACTAGGAGGTAGAGCAGAGGCTCTAAAAACAGTCTAAGGTGAATTGACTGGACAGACCCACGAAACCATGACCGTAAACCTTCGGTCCTGGAAAACTCACCCCGTGTGGTGTTTAGTTGTACTTAAGTGGTGTCAACAACTGCTTCCTCTCTTTTTTGTTTATTTATTTTTGGCTGCTGCCATTGTTGTAAAATTATATTTAACACTATATTTGCCATTTCACGCTTTTTCCGGTGTGCTTCATGGCACCAGTTACATTTATCACGTTGTGTAGCCATTACCCTTAGTTGATGCCAATTTTCCCATCACCAAAAATTCACTACTTACCAGAAATTGATTCCCTGTCTTCCTCTACCCCTCCAAGCTCTGGTAATCACTAGTAAGCATTGTTCTCTGTCTATCTACCTATTCTTGTCCTTTCATATAAGTGAGTTCATACACTATTTGTTCTTTTGCGATTATTTCAGCATAATGTCTTTGGGGTTCATCCATGTTGTAGCAGGACTTCATTTCCTTTTATAGCTGAGTCATATACTGTAAAAACCGCATGGGGAGGTGTCGGACCTCCTCTAACTTCACAAGGGGGAAGAAGAATCAAGATCAACAGCCCAAGGCTGATTTCTGCAAGGCGGAGGTCAGATATATCTTCTTTCTCTATCATCTTTACCAATTCTGACACCAACCATCCCTCCCACGGCACTCTCTGCTTCTCTGCTGGGTTAGCTAATTCATTGCAGTGACCACACAGAACTCACAGACAAGACTGACGATTGTGGGGTTTTTTAGGGAAGTAAAAGGTTATAATTCAGGCTCAGGAACACACAAGGATACAGTTCTTCCATCAGGACAGCCTCTTCTCACAGGCACACCTTTCCCTGGCCCTCAGTCTCTGCCTAAAGGCACTCAGCTTTCTTGCTTCAGTGTGCCATCTTCTGCGGGTCTCTGCTGCAGGGTCTCTGCTACCTTTAGCGTTACAGCTCGCTGTCTGACTTCTGGGTCCAAGAGCTTCTCAGTGCAGGAATCCCGGGTCCAAAAGACATGCTGGCTCCTGGCTGTTCTTCTTTGTTGGTGGTGGAGTCTTTTCTTTTTCCGCTTCTGGTGTGGCTCATTTCAAGCCCAGTAGGATGGCAAAACCGACCAGTCCCCTTGGTGGGCCACAATTACCACATCTGCACAGTCCCACCCAATCACTTGGGTGGAAGTTACAAGACCGTGGCTAGAAAGGCCACACAAAAGTGATCCATGGCACCACATATACCATTGTATGTATATACCCCATTTTGTTTTCTCTGTTTATCTGTTAATGGGCACTTGGATTTTTTCCACCTTTTAGTGATTGTGAATAGTGCTGCAGTGAACATAGGTGTTCTGTCACTACTTTGAGGTCTCTAGGGTATATATCTAGGAATGAAATTGCTGGGTCATATGGTAGATCTATTTTTAGTTTTTTGAGGACTCACCATAGTGTTTTCCACAATGGTTGTCCCATTTTACGTTTCCAGCAGCAGTGGGTAAGGGTTCCGATCTGCCCACGTCCTCTCCAACACTTGTTTTTGTTTTTGTTTTTTAATCATTGCCATTCTAGTAGGAGTGATACAGTATTTCATTGTAGTTTTGATTTGTAGCTCTCTAATGGCTAATGACGATGAGCATCTTTACATGCGTTTGTTGGCCACTTCAACATCCTTGGTGAAGTGTCTGTTCATGTCCTTTGCCCATTTTTTGATTGGGTTATTTGTCTTTTTGTTGTTGCCGACATTTTATATATACTTGAGATACTAGAATTTTATCAGATATATGGTTCCCGAAGACTTTTTTCCAGCCTGTAGGTTATGTTTTTATTCTTTTGATAAAGTCTTTTGATGAACATAAGTATTTAGTTTTTATGTGGCTTCGGTAGTATGACATTTTCACAATATTAAACTTGTCAGTTCTTGTTTCATGCTAGTATATGATCTGTCCTGGAGAGTGTCCCACGTGCACTAGAGAAAAAAGTGTATTGTTCTGATGTTGGGTAGAGAGTTCTATTTATGTCTGTTTTACCTAATTTGTTCATGGTGTTGTTCAAGTCCTCTGTTTCCTTACTGATTTTCTTTCTGGAAGTTTTGTCCAGTATTGACAATGTAGACAATTATTGTAGAGTTGTCTGTTGCTGCTTTTAGTTCTGTCAATGTTTGCTTTATATTGGTGCATTGATGTTGGGTGCACATATATTCATGGTTGTTATATTTTCTTACTAGATTGATCCTTTTATCAACATATGACATCTTTCTTCATCTCTTATAATAGATTTTGGCTTAAAGTGTATTTTGTCTGATACCAGTATGGCCACCACTTTGTGTTCAGGTTTTTGTGTGGACATATGTTTTCATTTCTCTTGGGTATTTACCTAGGAATGGAATTGCTGGGTCATATGGTAACTCTGTGTTTAACCTTTTGAGGAACTGCCATAATGTTTTCCAAAGTGACTGCACCAACATTGTGTGAGGGTTTCAATTCTCCACATTCTCGCCAACACATTATTGTCCATTTTTTCTGATTATAGCCATCTTAAGGAGTGTGAAATGGTGTCTCATTGTGATTTTGATTTTGATTTCCCTGATGATTAATGATGTTGAGCATCTTTTCATGTGCTTATTGGCCATTTGTATACCTTCTTTGGAGAAATGTCTATGCAAGTCATTTGCCTGTTTTTAAATTGAGTTGTCTTTTTTTATTATTGAGTTAGGAGATATACTTTTAAACAGATCAGAAATAAAGTGAAACCGGTACTGTGATAGAAATCTGTATAGGCTACAGTTGAGACTCAAAGGAATTTTGGTCATTTCTGATTTGAGAGAGTGGTGTCAGGAAAGATTTCATAGAGATAGTCACATTCAGCTGATGTTAGACATTAACTAGGTTGAAAAGGCTCAGTTTGGTATTCTAAGCAGAAGGATCAGCGTGTAGAACTGCATCAGGTTCAATAGGATGTGAGAAGGGGCATGGCAAGAAATGAAGTTGAAAATAATGGAGTTGGGGATACATGGAAGGTCATATGTGCAGCACTAAGAAGTTTGGATTTTAAATAGTAGAAACCAACTGAAGAAGTTTTGCATAGGAGAATAGCTAAATCAGATTTATCTGTTAATAAAGAAATACTAGCCTAGTGGTAGGCTCTTAGTGGGTGTTCGATAAATAGTGATTGAAGAAATAAATAATTATGGTGGCAGTGTGAAGGTGAATTGAAGGATAGTTCAGTTAAGAAATGGCATAGTACTGATTTAAGGCTGTAACAATGAGGATGGAAAGGAGGTGAGGAAAAAGAGGAGTCTTTGGTATAATTCCTAGTTTTCTATAGTCAATGATGATGCCATTTACTTAAAGAGGGAAAATAGGAAAGAGGAGTAATACAGAAGTAAAAAGACCCATTGCCGTTGAGTCAGTTCCGACTAATAGTGACCCTGTAGGACAGAGTATAACTGCCCTATAGGGTTTCCAAGGAGGGGCTGGTGGATTCGAATCGCCATGTTCTTTTTCGTTAGCAGCCAAGCTCTTAACCACTGTGCCACCAGGGCCCCATTGAAGTAAAAGGCAAGTTTAATTTATAACATACTTAGTTTGAGGTGCCTTTGAAACATTTAGGTGAAGATGACCTTTGGATAATTGACTCTCTGGTCCAAGTTGCAGAATAGAGATTTGGGTTCACCAGCATACTTAGGCAGGATAATATGTAACATGTAAGTAATAGGTGAAACCTTGGGAATGAATAAGATGGCCCAGGAACAGCCCGAAGAAGTAGAACGATACGATCTGAAGAACACAAGCATTAAAATGGTGTTTGAGTAGTTAAGGGCACTGCCTCTGGGGACAGACTCCATCATTTATTAGCCATGTTACTTACTTTCCTCATTCATAAAATTAGACTTATAATAGTAAGCACTCTAGAGAGATACAGCATATGGTCAAGTGCACAAGCTTTAGAGGCATCCTGAATCCTGGCTCACCACCTCTTGACCGAGTGACCTTGGCCAAGTTACTTAATCTCTCTAAGGCTTACTCAGTTTTATAATTTATTAAATAGAGATAATAATTGATGGGTCTGTGAAGGTGGGTGCCTACTTTAGTGTTGCATGAAGTAAATACACAAAGTGTGCCAAGAACAATGTCTAGTACGTAAGTATTCAATAAATGTAAGCTGCTGTCATTGCTGCTAATTCATTAGAGGGCTCTTGGGAGGAGTAAGTGCTTGGCAGAGTGTAAAGTGGTTAGCAGAGTGCCTAGCACAGATCATAAGAGCTTGATTATTGTTAGCCAGAAGATGGGCAGAAAACATGAAACCAGCAGCAGAGTCAGACAATTAATTATTTAGAGAAGTAGAAGACCAGAGAGTGTGCAGTCATGGAAGCCAAAGGAGACAAGAGTGTCAGGAGGAAGAGTAGAGTGGGCAGTGTTCGATTCTTCAAAAGGACCTGAAAATAATCCATTAGATTCGGCAGTCAGCAGGCAATCGACTCTACTGACAACAGTTTCAGTGGGGAGGTGTGGGTGGAAGCTTCATTGCTGTGGAGAATATTGTCAGAACAGTGCATAAAGGAATTCTTACATTATTAATGAGATTGGGATCCTGGATAACTCTTTGAGAAACAGTTATTTAAATTCATACCTCACAAACACCAAAATGAATTCCAGATAGATTTGAAGAGCTAAATGTAAAAAATAAACTCAAGAACCAGAAAGAAATATAGATGAATATATATTTGCTTTCTAGGTGGAAATGACTTTGCATGAAAGCAAAAGAAGTATCTATAAAAGAAATGGTTGCTCTGTTTGCATAAAAATTTTAAATGTTGCTATCCCAAAGCACAATAAGTAAAATTAAAAGCATTCGACAATTTATAAGGAAATACTTGTAATAAATGTCTTATAAATCACAGACAATATATGTTAAGAGCTTGTAAGAGCTTTTTATCAGCAAGAAAGAAATGGAAACTTGGGCAGTAGACATGAGTGAGCTAATGATTCACAAAAGAAGACATTTTAATTGCCAAAACATAAAAAAACATAAAACAAAAAAACATGAAAAAGGAAGACACACACTACATTATTAATTATGAAGATATTAGTCATGAAAGTTAGTCTTTGTGGAGCATTCGGGGAGAGTTTGGTGGCATCTAATCATACAAATTCCTGATATCCATTATTTTTACCTTTCCCTTGGGGTTGGTGTTGTGTAGGATTTCATCTTAAACATAGCTAAGGAAATGCTCAGGTTTGTCGTGCGTAAACTTGTTTAGTTTATCGTAAGTCATGTCAAGGCACGCGAGGAAGACCTCACAACATTGATTTAGCACCAGACAGTCAGAATTTACAATTACAGTGTTAGCTCACTGGTTAGATTTCCAATCTTTAGACTTCAAGCTTCTACCTTTTAGGAGAGGTCTCAGGAGGAAAACTTGATCAGGGCTTGAACTTGAGGGAGGTCCTTCCTAGCTAGCATCCAGGTTGGGTGGTGGCGGACAGAGACTCAGCCTTAGTGTCTGGAAGGGTGTCCTCTTCAGAGAGTGTCAGAGTCCAGAGAGGGGTCTCTTGCCTCCGTTCTTCTCTCAAAGCATGAACTGAAATCCAGTGTATATGTAGAGTTTTTTTTTTTTTTTTTTTTTTTTTAAGTTTGGTCTTGCAAGATAAAGGCTAGGTGATGTTGTGTTTACAAAGACTGGTATATCACCTTCAAGGGTGAAGATTAGAGATTGTTTATGACTTACCTAGTGTCTAAAGACCACCTTACAAAGATAATTTTATGTCATAGTTCCTTTATCAGATCACATATGTGCTGAGCCAATTTAAGGAGGTTTCTGTCATATCATGTATGTGGCAAATGAGTTTCGGGAGGTTTTACTGCATATTATGTCATTGTGACATATTTCAAATTTTTATTGATAATTTAGAAATCCTCTGATTATGAGTTATAGTTTTTTTTTTAATCACAGCACGTGGGTACAGTACCAGTCACCTAGAGCTTGTTACCACATCCTTCTATTTGTCAATTTCTGATGTTATACATTTTCTAAATAACTTTCTGACGGCTTACAATTTCTAACAGCTGTAAGAAAACACAAGTTTTTCCAGTTAGAGACCGTCACAAAAGCGTCTGTATATATTTCTGTTTCTAATGTTGTGAGTGAGCTGCGCATATGTAGTTTGGAAGCATAACAGTGTTGGAAACGTTAGGAAAGCCTGTGAGATTTGAGAACATATATGGATGTGTCTAACAATATATGGCTCATACCATGTTCAACTAGATATTTAGTAATGATAATACATTTGTATTAATGTGTGTGATAATCATAGTTTTCAAAAGTAGTAAGCTTTTTTTTAATAAATATGTTTTTGCATTTAAGGGAGGAAAAGACTGAACAGTTACTGGATTGCAAACAAGAACTTGAGCAAATGGAAATAGAACTAAAAAGGCTGCAGCAGGAGGTTTGTACCCGGAGCTTTTATTGTCTAGGACCCCACCCAAGTCATCGGAAGTTAATTGTTTTCCCCTTGTGATTTATAACCTTTAACTGATTGCCTTGTATGACAAACAAGGTTACTGAAGTTTAAAGAGATTGGATGACTTTTCAGTGTCTCTTCAGAAATAACAGAGCCAAAACTAGAAATCAAAGTCTTTGGACTTTTCTTTTTTTCTGTATCAGTGCTATTCAGACTTTGTTGTTAGGTGCCGTCGAGTACATTTTCAACTCATAGTGACCCTATAGGACAGTGAAACTGCGCATAGGGTTTTCTAGGCTGTAATCTTTACAGGAGCAGATTGCCAGAACTCTCCTGCAGAGCAGCTGGGTGGCTTTGAACTGCCTACCTTTTGGTTAGCAGCTGAGCACTTAACCGTTGAGCCACCAGGGCTCCTTATTTAAACTTTACTATGATCCAGAGGAGCCTCTGAAGACTGGGGATGTGCCACGCTTCTCTTTGTGTGTGTGTGTTCGGCTTGCAAGCTGGAGTACATTCACTGTGAACGGTGCTGAGTACATGTATCTCCCTGGGTCTCTGGGCTCTGCTTCATGTTAGCTCGTATAGGATTTTTCACTCTTGTTCTATTAAATAAGATCAAAACATTTTACTTTTTAAAAATCATATTTTTTACTTCACCAAAACCTTGTGTTTTTTTCATCTTGACAAAAATTGAGTTAACTTCTATTAATTATTTTGTAATGCATTGTTTTCATTTGGGAGTGTGGCACGATCTCCTGTTTAACCCATAAATGGTAAGGATTGAGGTAAGGTTGCACAATTGTTTCTTCCGTTTATTTTCCCTGACCTGCCATTTTTAAATGCAGGGAACACTCCGCTTGCAGGATCATAAACCTGGGATTTTCCTAGATTAGTGAGACTTGGAATTATAATCTTTATTTCTGGATATACTGTGGCTGCTGTTCCACTTCCTGGTCGCAGTTGTGTGTGTGTGTGTACCTTCTAAAGCAGCGGTTCTCAAACTTTTTGGTCTCAAGAGTGCTTTCCGCTCTTACAAGTTAGTGAGGATTGCTGATGTAGTTTATGTGTACTGTTACATTTGCTGTATGTGAGATTAAAACTAAGAATTTTTTAAAATTTACTGATTCATTTAAAAATATTACTCAACCCATTTCATGTTAACATAGAAAACATTTTAACTAAATAGGCATTATTTCCCAAAACCAAAAAGAAGTTAGAAGAGTGGTACTGCTCTGCATTTTTGCACATCTCGTTAATGCCTGGCTTAATTGGACAACTGGTCTCAGTTGTTTCTGCATTCAGTCTGTTAGGATATCACATGCCCTGTAGTCTCTGGAAAACTCCACTGCGCCCTCAAGAGTGGATAAGAATGAAAAAGGCAAATAATGTCTAAGTGTTATTATGAAAATAGTTTGGGCCTTATTGACTTCCTGAAAGGGTTTCAGGACCCTCAGAGTCCTTGGCCCACACTTGGCTGTTCTAAAGGGATGACAAGAAGGCTTTTAAATTCTAGATTTTAATTTTTATCTCAAATGGCATTAAGATATACACTAATCATTTTCCCTGAAAGCATTTAGAAACCTTAGCAGAATTTTGGTATGTTGCAGTGTACCTGGACAGACTCTCTCTCTGCACTAACTAATGATAGTCTTTAGTGACACCAGCTTTGCTTCTTCTGGGTTTTATTACCCTGTGTTCTAAAGACAACTTTGTTACCTGAAATTACTTGAAACTGGTTATGTTAAGTAGGGGTTAACTTAAAAATACTCTAAATATTTTTTACATGCCTGATAGAGCCCATTATTGTAAAAATTTATCTGTAGACATGTATATATATGTTCAAAATACTTTATATTCTCGGTAAAAAAGGCTTTGCATCTCCCCATTTTTAAAGAAAATATTTTTTTTATTGTGGTGTGTGTATATGTATATAAAACCAAAAAATTGCCATTTCAGCATCTTTTTCATGTACAATTCACTGACATTAATTACTTTCATCATATGTGCAGCCATCACTACTGTCCTTCCCAGATTTTTCTGTCACCCTTAACAGAAGTTCAGTGTCCCCCAGGCAATGATTCCATCTTTTTCCCTTTCTTCCATCCCTGGTAACCATTAGTAAACATTGGTCTCTATACATTTGTCTATTGCAGGATATTTCATATAAGTGGGAGCGTATAGTATTTTTCCTTTTGTAACTGAGTTATTTTACTCTGTATCTCCTCATTTTTAAAACAATATACTGAAGTATAATTTACATACCATAAAATTCACCCTTTTAAAGTGTACAATTCATTTTTTTTTAAGTAAATGTATCTAGTTGTATACCAAGGAATATCAGTTTGAAAATAGAAAATAATATAATATTAACTTTTTGTATTTATTTATATTTAGAACATGAATTTGCTTTCGGATGCTCGTTCTGCCAGAATGTACCGAGATGAATTAGATGCGCTCCGAGAGAAGGCGGTCAGGGTTGATAAGCTTGAAAGTGAAGTCAGCAGATACAAAGAGAGGTTACATGATATTGAATTCTATAAGGCGAGAGTTGAGGTAAGTTGCATAATTTAAAGTCACAATATTTTTTCTTTAAAAGTGTAATTTTCAAAATGCATTAAAAACGGGTTTAACAAACGTGAGGAACTCTTGAAATGTTGTTGAGCAAACAGTAAATACCTCTGGTGTTCGTTTTTTGATAGATCAGCATCTTGGTCATCTAGTGCTGTTACAACAGAAATACCACAAGTGGGTGGCTTTAATGAACAGAACTTTATTTTCGCACAGTTTAGGAGGCTAGAAGTTCAGGTTTAGGGTGCTGGCTGTAGGAGAAGGCTCTCTTGGGGTTCCTGGGAGATCTCCACAAGGCACCTCTCATTCCTCTATTTGGGTTTGCTTTCCTTCTTGTATATCTCAAAAGTGAGTAGGTTTAAGACACACCCTATACCAATATGTCCTCATTAACATAACAAAGAAGATCCTGTTCCCAGATGGACTCACATCCACATGTGTGATGATGATGTTGTTGTGTGCTGTTGAGTCAATTCCAGCTCATAGCAACCCTATAGGACAGGGTATAACTGCCGCATAGCATTTCCTAGGCCATAATCTGTACAGGAGCAGATTGCCAGGTCTTTTCTCACACAGTGCTACCAGGTGAGTTAGAACCGCCGACCTTTCAGTTAGCAGCCAAGCGCTTAACCACTGCCCTACCAGGGCTACTCATCACATGTATAGGGTTTAGGATTCCAACACATATTTTGGGGGAACACAGTTCAACCCATAACAATCAGCATATTGCTTAGACTATTACAGAAGGATTTTTTGACATAATTGCATTGAACTTTTTGGGCTCTTCTTTCCTTCCTTTATTTAGCACCCTTGATATTTCAGACTTGTGAAGCCTTTCCCTCATAATCAAAATAAAGTTATTTATCTTTACTAATCTCAAACTTGTTACCAAAAGTGAAAGCAAAAATACTTCTGACTACTGTCTAACTCAGATTTACTAAGTTAGGGTCAATGAAGTCTATATATATATAGATACATGTAAACAAATTAGGAAAAGAATTCCTACTTGATGTTTGCAGTTTAGTCTTATATATGACAGGGTTGAGTTTGACAGCAAGAATTCAGCAATCCTTGCATCCCTTTTTTCCTTTCTGAGTTAATTTCTTGTAAACAGGAGATCCTGGTCAGCTTCAGTATGGGAATGGCAAGGAAGGAGTATGTAAAACCAAAAAATTGGGACACTGAAAGAGAAAGTAGAATATTTTAGCATCATAACCTGTTTGCCGTCAAGTCGATTCCAACTCATAGCGACCCCATAGGACAGAGTAGAACCACCCCTTAGGGTTTCCAAGGAGTGGCTGGCTGGTGGATTCGAACTGCCGACCTTTTGGTTAGCAGCCTGAGCTTAACCACTGCACCACCAGGGCTCCATTGTTACCAGAATATAGGCCCAATAGATTGCTAACGTAAAGTGTGTTTACATTCTTTGGCAGTTGTTTAGATGTGTATATGCATGGCGCTGTTGAGAGACCGTCATATATGCCAGTCTTAACATACTTTATCTTGACTTTTGTTTAAGAACCGCAGGCATATAACTTAGCAAGATAGGTTTGTGGACACATATCTTAAAAACGTGGAGATTTTAAGCATTTTCTCAAGATGCTTATGTAAAATATTTCTTGATAGAGTCTTGGTGTATGATTTACGTGAGCCCTTGTTCAGGTTTTGGTATTTTACTGCAAAAACTCCAAACTCTCCTCTGTTCAAGTTACAGCTCTAAGAAGGAAGAAATCCTTAAGTCTATTTCAGTAAGTAAATTAGGCCCTGATTTTATGGGGATTTACGTCTTAAATATCTGAACAACTGCATATACTTAATTCCTTACCGATGTGACTAAGAAACTTAAATATACCCTGACAATTCCCTGTGAAATTGTAGTCATATTAGACATCCTAACGTACATACTGAGTATTTTGTTGGCACAGTAGCTTAAAATCTTGAAGAGAAAGGAAGCCAAGAAAGCACTGACTGTATTTCTGTTACTCAGCCACTTTACTCCTGCATAGAACTGTTGATAAACTGCTTAGTGCTTTACTTTATGATAAAGAATTTTATGTTCTGGAGCTTTACAGAATTAACGTACATTAACACGTTTGTGATAAATAAGTCTACTTTAAATGTCTATAGGAATTAAAAGAAGACAATCAAGTTTTATTAGAAACAAAAGCCATGTTGGAGGACCAACTAGAAGGGACTCGAGCTCGTTCTGATAAATTACATGAATTAGAAAAGGAGAATTTACAGCTAAAGGCTAAACTGCATGACATGGAGATGGTGAGTCTCACGAGATGGATCAGTTCCCTGGCCTCTAAGGGAGAATTCTAAGATTAAGAGATCCCTCTGTAATTACGGGGGCGGCTAGTACCCTTGAGTCTCTGACAGAGAGGGGATAGCTTAGTCAGTTAGATGCTTCAAACTTTACGCACATACAGGAGTAGAAGAAATTTCTGCTTTTATTACAGAGGGATAGTATTAATTTTGTCTTCTACCATTAAAAAAAGATCACAATTGATAAATTATTGTGTATTTGTACCTTAAAGAATACAGAAATAAACCTGTTTGCTAAAAATGGCGGGTCAGAATTCTTTCATTATTTTGCCAAAACAGTATATTGACTATGAAGGAGAGTTTTCACTGTGTCCCCAAAGATCACATTAAAAGGATGTCAGACACCTAGAGATCAGTAATAATAATTATAATAACTGATTATTGCCTTCAAACTATGAAAATTTTAAGGAACTCAAACTTTATTCTTGCATTAATTAGTTTCTGATAAATAAAAGTTCCAAGTAATAAAATACTAGCTTGAATTGTTTGTACCATTTCTTAGCTTTATTTTCTCTCCCTACTTCCTGTGCTCATGCCAATAAAAAGGAACGTGATATGGATAGAAAAAAGATTGAAGAATTAATGGAAGAAAATATGACTCTGGAAATGGCACAGAAGCAAAGTATGGATGAATCCTTACATCTTGGCTGGGAGCTGGAACAGATATCTAGAACTAGCGAACTTTCTGAAGGTATTTCAAATGTTGTTTTATTTAAATGGTGACTGAATAAATTCAATTGTATTTATGCTTACTTTTCTGGACATTTTTTTTTTGCAGTTCTTTACTTTCCCTAGCTGGAGATATCTCAGAAGACCAGCTGCCTCTCTAGGCAAGATTTCCCAAAGTAACACGTTGTTACCATATTCCTGGGTCTGGTCCTTAGCTTCGCTTGTCTACCGACTCAATTTTATGAGTACAGTAATAGACTTGATTAGCTATTTGGGCATTACTTCATGTTATTCTCACAAGGGGATGGAATGCCAGTTAATTAATTTTATTTTAAGAAGTATAGTCATCTACTAAATAAAACAGTAAAGTCGTGTTAGCTGCCTATGGGCAAAACCAAAATGTAGTGAGAATATTCTTATGTGCATATGTCGATAGAATAAAGGAAGTTAAGGAACTTCATGGCTACCTTCATCAATACTTGGTAGTCCCCATTATAGGATTATACCTACCAACCAGTCCAGCCCAGTTATACCCTGCAGGTAGTAAAAGACCACTAGATAAATTTTAACTTTTGGCTCTTTTTGTCTTATGCTCTATTTGACTTGTCTCCTTTCCCAAGGCTAGGCATATACATAAAATACAGTTGTTTGGATTCTAGCTTTGGATAAGCTGATACTGATATACTGTATTGAAATTATACCCAAGTTCCATACTTCCTCAGTTACTCGTTATTAGATTATTCCACCTGCATCCCTTCCCTCAGCAGATACTGAGACCAACAGTGTGAAGAATACTGTAGCAAGCCCTGAGGATATAGTGGTGAGGTAGAAATAAGCTCTGGCAGAATTTATAGTCTAGTGCCTACAGAATAATTAATTCTACAGATGAGTCATTCTGTTCCTTACCTATTGGACTTTTTCTAATTTTAAACTTGAGAATTACCTTAATTCCACATTCTGGGACCCCCCACTTCCAACTACATAATAAGTGATGAGGTTCAGCTAATGAACTTGATGAAATGTCTTGCTTAAAATACGTGGGGAACTTTTTTTAAGTTGTATTCCTCATAAATTGACTTCCAAAAAAGCAACTCAGACTTAAATGTTTTCTACCACAGAAGTAGTTAAAATGACTCTGCTAGTTAAGAGTTTCCTGTCTGCTAAGTGGAGACAGTAACAGCAAGTACTTCGTAGGGTAGTTGTGAGTGTTAAATGTGTTAGTACGGAGGAAGTCCCTAGAACAATGCATGGTGAAACAGTAAGCAGTTCAAGTGTTAACTGCTATTATTATATCACAGTTGTTTTATAATTGCTCTTAGCTGGGGCCATAGACCTGGGTATTCCTTTAAATTTGATGAATTTTTTTTTTTTTTTAATTATACAAGTGACTTACTTTCTTTGTAGAAAGTTTGCAAAATGTGAAAAAATAAAAAGGAGGAAATAAAAGTCACTAATAATTTCTTAAATCACTTCTACATTTCAGAAAATTTGCCTCCAGGATTTTTCTATGTACATATATGTATTTTAAACATCATCAGGTCAATTCAGGTTCCATTCTTTGCTTAAGATTATAACATAGGCACTCTCCCATGTTATTAAAAATGTACTCTGAGCATACTTTTTAATTCTTCATAATCCGACCTAAAGCACATAGTATTGAGAGTATCATCAATGTGTATCACGTATTCTAGCCTGATGTTGTGTATTTGGAACGCGTAACTGAAAATCATAAATTGTTGTTGTTGTTGTTGTGCTGTCGAGTCAATTTCAACTCACAGGGACCCTATAGGACAGAGTAAAACTGCCCCGTAGGGTTTCTAAGGCTATAATCTTTATGGGAGCAGATCATGAATTAGAATTTTACTAAAGAAGACTTGGAATTAAAAAAGTAAATCACTGTGCAGTATACCAGTTTTTAACGAAAAATAAGCAACATACTGATTAGAACAAAAGCTGAAAATAAAAATAGAAGCATTCTGAAAACCTGGGGGATAGTTTACTGTTCCTAATTTGAAAGAGAATTTATGTGTGTAGGGGTACATGTTGTGTATATACGTTTCTTTGCTTTTAATGATGGAGAATTTCAAACATGCTCAAAAATAGACCTAGAAATGCCTTCCCATACCTCCATCCATTTCCCCTCCTGAAATCTACGATTTCAAAATAAATTCTAGGTATATTTCAATTGTAAAGACTAATATTTTTATATCATCAAATTTTTTAATGAGTCTACTGTAGGGCTATTTAAAAAATGATAATTTTTGGCTTACTGAAACTGAGAGAACCTCATTTACAGAACTAGAAACTTAAGTTTTCATGTTTAAAAAATGTAATGCTGAAATCTGCTTAGAAAGATGATGCCCCTTGGCAATACGGGGTAGGTGTTGCTCTGTACTTGAGCGTGGATTCTTCATTTACAAGAAGTAGTCTGCTTCACGCAGCTGGTGTATACTATCTCACCTCTCGGACTCACGTTAGAATTTTTTCCCCTCAAACTGCCTTCCTTTAACGTTTTCAAGGTGTGTTGTGGGATATGCTTTCCACTTCTTATTTGGTTCACAGAGTGACCCTGTGAGATACACAGGACTGTCACCATTATATTTTACCCAGGTAACCTAAGCCTTAGTGAGGTGAAAGTGACTTGGGCATAGCCAGGTTAATTTCTCACGGAACTAGGACTAACTCTGGTCTCTTCAGTTTAAATTTTGTGCTTTGAGCTAGATTGCTTATGGATCCCTCAAAATTTCAGATGTAACTTACTTTCACCTGTCAGTCATTTTTTTCATTGTGTCTGTCTCATATAACTTTTATTTTTTTATGATGTTAAGGACCGGTGACACAGGTGCATTTACACACAGTGTTTTAAATGGTAAAGGGTATACAAAGTTTTACCAGTAGTTTGTTTTTCAATATCATAGCACCACAAAAATCCTTGGGCCATGAGGTGAATGAGTTGACATCAAGTAGGTTACTGAAGTTGGAGATGGAAAACCAGAGCTTGGCAAAAACTGTAGAAGAGCTTCGGAGTACTGTGGATTCTGTAGAAGGCAACGCTTCCAAAATCCTGAAAATTGAAAAGGAAAATCAAAGACTAAATAAAAAGGTAAATAAAAATTTAAGTATTTAATATAGTGTTTAAGAATATATTTTAAAGTTGAAATAAATAGCACTGTGGTAGAACATTTACTTTTCAGTGTTTCATGTACCCTCAATATTGTTTTAACTTAGAACATACGTAAATGTGGAAAGAATGAACCCCCTATGTATTCACTAATTACTCAGCTTCAGCAGTTGCTGACTTACAGCTCATCTTATTTTATTTCTATTCCTGCCTACCTTCCCCAGCACCACTAGATGATTTTGAAGCAAATCCTAGACATGTTACCATTTCATCTATGAATATTTCAGTGTGTATCTCTAAAAAATAAGGAATACTTTTTAAAAACAGGAACAGTGATGTTATCACACTGAAAAAGTTAATATATTATTTCTTAAAAACATCAAACATTTGGTCAGTATGTTTCAGTTTCTCCAGTTCACCATTTGGATATTAAAACTGTTTTATTCTTTATTCAGTGATAGTCTTTGTTTTGACATGTTTCCACTGTTGTAAAATATTTAATGAAATGTTTTTTGTGATTTGATTTTTTTCTAGGTTGAAATTCTTGAAAATGAGGTTATTCAAGAAAAGCAAAGTCTTCAGAATTGTCAGAATTTAAGCAAGGATCTAATGAAGGAAAAAGCTCAGCTTGAAAAAACAATAGAAACACTTAGAGAGAATTCAGAGAGACAGGTTCATAAATTTCTTATTAATTAACAAAATAGGTGTTTTTAATTTTATTTACAAATGTTATTTTAAACTTACATAGACAAAATGTTCATAGAACCTTAAAGGAAAATATTTTAGAATTTTTTTTAGCTTTTAAGTAACTGTGGCAGTTTTGGAGCCCTGGTGGCCCAGTGGTTAAGAGCTCAGCTGCTAACCAAAAGGTCGGCAGTTGAAACCCACCGGCTGCTCCTTAGAAACCCTGTGGGGCAGTTCTGCTCTGTCCTGTAGGGTCACCTTGAGTCGGAATCCACTTGACTGCAACAGGTTTGGTTTTGGTTTTTATAACATTTTTACCTCATTTTCTATCCCATGTACTTTAGAAAAGTTGAAGGACAGTAATCATCTTAGATACTATTAAATTTGCTTTCAGGTTTTTATGAGTCATTCTCATTTTATGCTTGAGAAACTAAAAACTGGATATACTGGGTGACTTGCCAATTTTTCATTTCTATTTTTTACAGGTAAAATCTTTTATATTATCCAGTTATTAGTCCTAACTGCCCCCCACCAAAAAAAAAAACCGAAAAACCACACATTGCTGTGGAGTCATTTCTGACTCATAGCAACGCCATAGGACAGAGTAGAACTGTGTCATAGGGTTTCCAAGGCTGTATTAGTCCTCAGACCACATATACCAGAATCACCTTTCAGGGTGCTAGGTAAACATGCCAATTTCTCTAGACCTACAGAATAAAAATTCTGGAGCCAACTAAGCATGAATCTACTTTTACAAGCTTCTTGAGGGATTGTTTCACACACTGAATTTTGAAAACCATTATATTAGCGCACACTATAAATTGAATTAATTCTCAAATGTACCAGGTGATATTGTTAGTTTGACGTCTTCTAATTAGAATTCTTTTTCAAAACGAATACACACACATACACACATATACTATAGCAAATGTTTGCTGAGGACCCACTGTGTATAGGCATTGCAGAGATTATTTAATGAAAGGAAAAGCTTATCTCCTTAAGGGTGTGTGTGTGCGTTTTACCTGTATTCGTATTTTAATTTGAAGCATGTAACTGTAAGTAATCAGAAGACTTTTGATTAATATTAAATACGTCTCCCTTAACCACTTCTTTAGATTATGAACTCCCTGAGACATGAACTTTCACGTCCTGGCAGTATATGCACACAGTGGTATCTCAGTAGATATCTGACAGAATTAAAAGTGAAATAAACATGGTACCACTCTTTTATGTTATGCTTTACGTGTTAATTTTTGTAGGGGAAAACTATGTAATTTAAAATATTTAATTTTTACTCAATTAACAGTTTTTAATTTTCTCCTTCTCTCTTCTTTTGAGTTAGATTAAAATATTAGAACAGGAAAATGAACATCTGAATCAAACCGTGTCTTCCCTACGGCAGCGCTCTCAGATAAGTGCTGAAGCAAGGGTGAAAGACATTGAAAAAGAAAACAAAATTCTCCACGAATCTATCAAAGAAACAAGTAGCAAGCTAAGCAAGACTGAATTTGAAAAAAGACAAATTAGAAAAGAATTGGAACATTATAAAGAAAAAGGAGAACGATCAGAAGAACTTGAGAATGAGTTACATCATCTTGAAAAAGAAAACGAATTGTTACAGAAAAAGATAACTAATTTAAAAATCACTTGTGAAAAAATTGAGGCCTTAGAACAAGAAAATTCAGAGCTAGAAAGAGAAAATAGAAAATTAAAAAAAACATTGGATAGCTTTAAAAACCTTACTTTTCAGTTAGAATCCCTAGAAAAAGAGAATTCCCAGCTTGATGAGGAGAACTTGGAGCTGCGAAGGAACGTGGAATCCTTGAAGTGTGCGAGCATGAAGATGGCCCAGCTACAATTAGAGAACAGAGAGCTGGAAGGTGAAAAAGAGCAGCTTAAGAAGGGCTTGGAGCTCATGAAAGCATCATTTAAGAAAACAGAGCGCTTAGAAGTTAGCTACCAGGGTTTAGATACAGAAAATCAAAGGCTGCAGAAAGCACTAGAGAACAGCAATAAAAAAATTCAGCAACTAGAGAGTGAACTGCAAGACTTAGAGATGGAAAATCAAACACTGCAAAAAAACCTAGAAGAGTTAAAAATATCTAGCAAAAGACTAGAACAGCTAGAAAAAGAAAATAAATCCTTAGAGCAGGAGACCTCGCAACTGGAAAAGGATAAGAAACAACTGGAGAAAGAGAATAAGAGGCTCCGGCAACAAGCAGAAATCAAGGATGCCACACTAGAGGAGAATAACGTGAAGATCGGGAATCTGGAGAAAGAGAACAAAACCCTGTTCAAAGAGATCGGCATATACAAGGAATCCTGTGTTCGCCTGAAAGAATTAGAGAAAGAAAATAAGGAGCTTGTGAAGAGAGCAACTATTGATATAAAAACTTTGGTTACATTACGTGAGGTAAATATATTTAGCTAAATTTACAGAAAATATTTTTCATATCTTTAAATCAAAGTTTCTTTAAGCTTTATCAAAACCCATCAGTAATTTGCATCATCTTACAGAGTAGGAAGTTGGAATTAGAAATAGAACAGTTTTTAAATTTCCTACTTTTGTTAAACTAAGAAGCACATTTTTTAAAATTGCAACAAGGTTTCCATGTGATATCTTGATTTATTATAATTTTAAACTTTTATTTCAAAATAGTATTAAAATATTTGAACGGGACTCTTACTGAACACTAAGTGTAATAGGAGGCATGAGAGCTACTATTCATTGAATGCTAACCATGTGCCAGGTACTAGGCTAAGGACTTCATGTAAGTTATATTTATAAATATATATATTATTTTCACAACCAGCTCTTTGTAGATATTATTCCTACTCTTCCAGTTAGAAAACTGAGGTTCAGAGATGTTAAGTGACTTGCTCAGGTTCACACAGCTAATAAATGAGACAGAGTGTGATTGCTGATTTCAAACCCAGATCTTTTAGACTCCAGAGCCCATGAATTTGACCTGTATGTCAGAGAGATGGCAAATCCAGTTCATTTTAAAGGTCAACACTGAACAGTTGGTAGTGTCTGCTTGGAACTATGTGTTGAAAAGAATTCTTAAATTTACAGGGGGTAAATTGTCAATATGTGCCGTGAAACATGGCTGGTGCCAATCAGAAGATAGCATGCTTGGCTCTTTTTTGCCATCCCTATGCTGCACTGTTGGAATCCTGGTGGCACAGTGGTTAAGCACTCAGCTGCTAACCGAGAGGTCGGTGATTCGAACCCACCAGCCACTCTGCGGGAGAAAGATGTGGCAGTCTGCTTCCATAGAGATTCACAGTCTTGGAAACCCTATGGGACAGTTCTACCCTGTCCTGTAGGGTCACTGTGAGTTGGAATCTACTCAGTGGCAGTGAGTTTGGTTTGGGTTTTTTATGCTGTACTATATATGATTAAAAAAAGTCTCAGCTTTCTGGCAGAAAGTCACATTGGACAGTCTGCGTTTCCGCTAGAGTATCGTGCCGAAAAAACCAGACCACACTTGCCTTTGAGTCAGTCCAGACTCAGGGTGACCCCATGAGTTGCAGAGTAGAACAACGCTCTGTAGGTTTTCATGACTGTGACCTTTCTTCCGAGGCGACTCTGGGTGGGTTTGAACTGCCAACCTTTAAGTTAGCAGCTGAGCAGTTAACCATTTTGCTAACCAAGGACGAAGGACCGTAAGCCTTTCATTTTTTCTTTCTGTTCTCTGCCTGAACTTCTCAGAACATCCCCTAGTTCTTCAGATCAATGTCTTAGGCCTTTTCCAGTGGGAGAGAGGGGCGCTCCTGGTGGGAAGAAGTGTTGTGACCAACATGTATTCGTGGGAAGAATGAAAGTCCCAGCTCATCACTCAAGGGTAAATGGATAGGTTTTTTCCCCCACAGTTTCCAGACCTAAGATGTGTGTTTACAGGTAAAGAGTTTCTCCTTTTAGTTTTTAACATTAGGGCTAAAAGAAAGTATTGAAGGAAAGAAGAAAAAAAAATCTGTTTGAACTAGGTTATAACTTTGTTGCTTCACTACCTTTTAATGATACAGGGAAGGTTTAACAGCATTTCTGTCTTTCCTGGTTGAGTGGTATGCATTCCTAGATGGTAGTTGTCAAAATCTTGGCTGATTTCTTAGATGTTTTATATTCTTGACATTTACGTGACTTTTGCACTTATTTTAAAATAAGGATTTGGTGAGTGAAAAGTTGAAGACTCAACAAATGAACAATGATCTTGAAAAATTAACTCACGAGCTTGAAAAGATAGGGTTAAATAAAGAGCGACTCTTACATGATGAGCAGAGTACCGATGACAGGTGAGTATTCGGTTGGTTTGACAAACGTTTTACTTCTTTCTCTTTGTTCAAACATTGATTCTTCCCTGGACTAGCCGTAGAAAACATCTACGTGCTTTACGCTTGTTTTGGTCCCTTTCTTCCTTAAGAGAAAGTTGTGTAAGAAAAATATAAGGAATCAGATAAACGTAAACAAATAAATCAGTAAATAAATAAAACAATATAATATCCATACAAGGAAAAGAAAAAACACTAAAATGTTTCAAATAGGAGAAGACAATGCCACCCAGGTATTAAAAGTTTGGAAGCTATAATTATCTGTGAAAATAAAATAAGATTTTAACAACAATTAACTTCCCACCCCGCTTGTGAGATACAGTCAGTTTAAGCAAAAGTTACTTTTCTTTTGAATCATGTGCTTAAATGCCTCAGTGCTTTCATTTTGTGTGCCAAAATGAGGACGTAAAGAGAAGTGGAGGAAAAGTATAAAGTGAAGGAAAACGTACTGAGAAGCAATTAAGGTGTAAAAATAATGTGGAAAACTAAGGCCTGATAAACAGGATGAAAAAGTAGTCTATCTACCCTTTAATTTTAAAGATGTTCAATAGAGGTTTAAAGAAAATTTCTATCCTCGCATGGGAATTCTGTCAGAGTTAATCTGATTTTCAAGTAGTCTGGTATTTAGAATCCAGTCTGCCACGTGGTTCTGGCTAGAACAGAAGTTGTGTATTGATAAGAGTATTGTTTTATGTAGACTAGATTTTTATAAGTACTGGAATTTTTTGATTATATAATTTGTATTCTATCATATACCCATTGTTACTGTTGCAATGTTTATATTCTATATGAAATGAATGTATAGAAAAAATATTGATTATATGGGATTTGTTTCTTGATTTTGAGAATATTAAAAATAAATATAATAGATTGATACTTTTAATAGCCAGGTCTACAATAATAAAGAAAAGTAACTTGAGACATTTTTTCTAGCAGTCAGTTTAAGTCAAGCAACCATAATTGAATTGATTGTACAGATATTTCGTGAAGAAATATTTTCCAGTTAAACAGATAGGTGCTAATTTAGTTGACCCTGGTGGCACAGTGGTTAAGAGCTACAGTGAGCTATGGCTGCTGACCAAAAGGTTGGCAGTTCGAATCTACAAGCCGCTGCTTGGAAACCCTGTGGGGCAGTTCTCCTCTGTCCTGTAGCATTGCTGTGAGTCAGAATTGACTCTACGGCACCTAACAACAACCTTTTAATGTATACTGAATACACATCACTTGGTTCAAACAGATTTATTACGTGCCATGTGAAGACACTATGCTACATGTTCTTGGCCAAAAAAAAAAAAAAATGGCCAAAAAAAAAAAGAGTAAACCATATATTTGCTCTATTATAAAATCTATAAAATTTTTGTTACAAAATTTTGTTATAAATTTTCCAGCTCTCATTGGGCCCTGAATGCCGTTTGACACTTCTTCCCAAACCTTAATTTGGGCTCTTGTTATCTGCTGGTCACCAAGCATCATAGAAGTGATAATGCTTCAGTTGAATCTAGAAGAATGACAGAAGTTTGCTAGGTGGAAATAGTGGGGAAAGATATTCCATGCAGACAAAAGCACAAAACTTCCGAATCTATTGCCTTGCGACAGTTTTTAAACCTTGAACTGAAGCTATCCCATGAAGTCATTTTTAAACCTAACAACAGTCTAGCTCAGTTAATAAAGAATGTTTGCCTTGAGCATTGTGCTGTTGTAAAGAATCCTCTGCGTGAGATCGGATTGACAACAGTAACCCTGAAGCACAGATGAGAACTTCCAGGGGCAGAGTCTAGGTTGACGTGGTGAAACACTGTGGGTAGAGGCAGTGAGAACGGTGGCTCAGTGCGAAGGATGTAACTTCTGTCGTCGATCTCCACGTGGGAAACTGTTGAGCAGGTGTATGTTTTGTTGTGTGTATTTTCACACACACCGCAAAAAAGCACAAACGTGTGTTTGAGCAGTTCTTAGAGTGACATGAAAGATGGATTAGAAAAGGCGTGAATTTGGAGGCACAGAGACCAGTTCGGGAGCTGTTGTGATAGTCCTGGCAAGATGCAGTTCATTCATTTATTCTACAAATACGTATTTAATAATGAATTGTCCCTGGTTTGTAATACTTCTGAAATTGGGTCCATGTACGGTTTTTTTAAAAAACAAATTTAATTAATACCATAGTTTTTCATGAATTCACCATTCAAAAAGATAACTAGAAAATTGAGAGTCACATCTGTCTGCCTCTTCCCACTCTGTCACCAGTGTCCTGTGTCTCGAGTATATCATCTTTTTTAAATGTTCTGCAGCAACTCAACCCTGAAGACAGTCTTCAGTGAGTTTTAAATCTTAGCTGGTTATGTGTCCTTGTATAAATACTTTATACATTACATCATAGTCAAATGCTTGATTGCATGCTTATTCTATTCCTCTTTGTATAGATTCTATTCTTATAAAACTAAAAGGAATAGTTGAGGACTTAGCTCTTCCAGGGTTCCATTTTTGAGCATTAACTGTTCTTCTGCCAGCCCGGGCTATAGCCTGGAGCTCAGCTTACTGAGTGATTTTTGTTGCTTCATGACCAGGAATAGTTTTAAGAGGAGGATAATTTAACTCACCTCTTTACAAAAAAAAAAAAGAAAGAAAGAAAGAAAAGACAATTTTATAAGAACTATTTATGACATCAGAATCTGTGGTCATAAATTATCTTTAAAAATATTCAGATCTCCAGTGATGAACTGTATTACTCTTATACTTGGATAGTAGGTACAAACTTTTGGAATCAAAATTAGAATCTACTCTGAAGAAGTCTCTTGAAATAAAAGAAGAAAAAATTGCTGCTTTAGAAGCTCGATTAGAAGAATCCACAAATTATAACCAGCAATTGCGCCAAGAACTTAAAACAGTAAGTGATTTTCTTGGAAAGAATTTGAATTATCTATTTATTTAAAATATAAAGTAGAAAATAAAAATGCAAACATTGTTTCATTAATATTTTAATAAAATTGAGAGTTTTCTTAAACATGATCTTTGTTATATGGATATACTATATTCAGTCCTATTTCACGTATTTGTGTCGTATTCCAAGATAGATCATATTGGAATTGTGAGAGTAGGGTGGGGAAAAGGCAGGCTAATTTCACTGGGAAAATATGATACTAATACTTCACCCAGGTGAAATTTTGATAGGCAAAGATAGGGGTGTGCGGATACCTACTAAAGTCCATGATCGTATGTGTGGTATACCAAGCACCTGATTGCCACATAAATTTTTTATCTTTTCTAGATCTGGATATTTGGAATTATCCAGTGAAACAAGCAGGGCAGCTACAGCTGTCTCTTTTCCATAAGGGAGTAAGTTGGAATCGAAGGGGCTTACTCATGCCAGAGGATTAGTAGGTAGTAGATTTGATAGACCTACATTCTGGTTCATTCTCCCCTTTTCCATCTCTGCAGTGCCTCCAGGAATGGTCTTAAGGTAACTAAACAGTCAGACTGGCAAGATTACTGTAGGCCACATTGAGAACCATTGTATTCAGAATGCTACAGTAAATACGAGTAGGTAGCAGGACAGTGTCAGGCATCCATCACCACAGGGTTGTCTGTGAGTTATTGTCCCACCAGATTACAGTTCAGGTGCAGCAATGTGAAGGTCACATTGGCTGCTTGGAGACCTCAGGTCCCACAGCAGTTCAGTGTCTCTTGCAGCAACTCCAAAAGCATGGAATTAAGCTCCTCAGAAGAGAGGTTTATGAGTTGCTGCATTCAGGGAAGCTCAAAGATTTGGCTTCTTATTAGGTATTTATAGTTCTTCTAGTCCAAATATAATTTACCAATCAGGGATTGTTTTCACCAAAAACAGTATTGCCTAATAACATAGAACATTCCAGTTTTATCAGGTTTCTAGAGAAACAGTTAACAAAAGATGAACTTCATGTAGAAAAGGAAAATGTTGTATTTACCCTTTGCCCATACCATCTTTGCTGGTGTTTGTCACAGGTACTGCCATAGAACATATGTTGTTGCAGAGGAAATTTGAGAACTTTGATTAGTTAACACAAATAAAGGGATTTTCCAAAAAGTAAAGTAAAACTTGTGCCAAATTGAATTAATTTGCTTCTCTGTCCTTTTAAGTCTGCTTTATGTCTTCAAGAGTCAACTTCTTGAAGCAACTCAGTGAGAAAATATGTGGGTTTGAGTACAGGTTGGTGTATGTGTGTTTGAAGTCTAAAAGGTAGAGGTTTAAAGTTCCATTATTGTCCCCCGCTTTCAGCCACTGTGGTATGTGAGTGTTAATGGACTAGCCTCCTGCCATAAACATCTGTTAGACTGGAATTATGCTGTTGTCAGGGCTTTATACTCTACATGAAGAGGTCTGTCACTTGAACGTGGAATGTAAAAGTTAAATATGAATAGTATAAGGCCCAAAGTAACCACTAAAATACCATGACAAAGAGTTACAGTTAATATGCCAACAATAGAGATAAAATGGAATTATAAAAAATAAAAGTAAGCAGATAAAGAAAAAATGGAGAACAAAGTATAGTACAGATTGGACAAATGTACTCTTGCCAGTTTTAGAGCAAACCATATCAATAACCTCTTTAAATTTTAAAGATCTAAATACCCTAGTTAAAAGGCAGAAATTAATAGGTAAAAAGCAAGATCCACCTATATGCTGCCTAAAAGAAACCTTGATGAAAAATGATATATTACACTAGCCCTAATCAGAAGAAAGCTGGAATCACTATTTTAATATCAAAGTAGATTTTAGATGAATGAATATTACCAGGGTTAAAGAGGTTCATTTCACAATTATAAAGGGTTCATTTCATCCAGAGGACATAACAGTGTAAAATGTTTGTGCACCTAATAATAGAACTTAAAATTATGTGCTATAACTGCAAGGAGAAATAGGCAAATCCACAGTTACAGTTAGAGGGCTCAGTACAGTCTCAAAAACTAGTAGAACAAGTAGAAAGAAAACCAGTAAGGATATAGATGACTTGATAGCACTGTCAACCAGCTGGATCTACCTGACGTTTTTTGAACACTCCACCAAACAATAGTAGACTATACATGCTTTTTAAATGCACACAGAACATTTATCAAGATAGAGCATTTTCTGGGTCATTGAACACGCCTCAATAAATGAAAAGGATTTAAGTCCCCTAAGTAAAGAGAAAAAAGAAAATCATAAAGATACAAGCAGAAATCAATGAAATAGAAAGCAGACAATAGAGAAAATAAATGTGAAGTAGCTTCTTGGGCAAAAATCAATAAAATTCATAAATCCCTAGCCAAGTTGACGCAAACAGTTAAGAACTTGACTACTAGCTGAAAGGTTGGCAGTTTGAACCCACCCAGAGGCACCTCGGAAGATGGGCCAGGAGATCTGCTTCAGAAGATGACAGCTTGAAAACCCTGTGGAGCGGTTCTACTCTGCACACATGGGGTCCCTATGAGTCGGAATTGACTCGACAACAACTGACAACAGCCAAGTTGAATAAGAAAGAGAAAACTAATCTAATACCGGGAATGCGTGAGAGGATATCACTGTACAGACATTGAAAGAGTAATAAAGGGACAGAAACAAATGGCTGAAACTGACACAGAAAGACATAAAAATCGGCATAGCTCTGTATCTTTTAAAGAAATTGAATTCATGATGAAAAACCTTATAAAGAAAAATCCAGGCCTAGGTGATTTTACCAGTAAATTCTATCATGTATTTAAGGAAGAAATAATACCAGTCTGACACTATTTTAGAAAATAGAAGAACAGGTTACACTTCCCAAATTCATTTGATGGGGCAAACATACCAAAACCAAACAAAGATATTACAAGAAGAAAAGAAAACTATAAACCAATATTCCATACACGTAGGCTCAAAAATCATTAACAAAATATTAGCATGTCAAACGCAGCAATACGTAAAAAGAAAATAATACTTCACGACTAAATGGGATTTTTTTTCCAGGAATGCAAGACGGTTGTACATTGGAAAATCAGTATAGTAAAACACATTAAAATAAGAAAACAATATGGATATCTCAGTTGATGTAAAAAATTCACTGCCCATTCAAGACAAAACCTCAGCAAACTAGGTGTATTAAGGAACTTCATCAACCAGATACAGGGCTTCTATGAACAGCCTTCAGAAAACACCATTCTGAAAGGTAGAAGACTAATCACTTTCCACCTTTGATCAAGAACAAAGCAAGAATGTTGCTCTCAGTACTTCTATTAAATGTCCTAACCAGTGCAGTGAAATAAGAAAAAGAAAGAAAGGAAGGAAGAAGGAAAAAGTCTTTATTTACCTATGACAGAATTATGTTAATAGAAAATTCTATGGAATTCATAGAAAAACCTCTACAGCTAAAGCGAATTTTATCAGGGTCACAGGCTGAAGTGCAATATACAAAAATCATTATATAACAACAGTTAGAAAATGAAATTTGAAAGAAAAATAAAATTTACAATTCTATAAAATAACATGAACTATTTAGGGATAAACAAGGAAATATGTTTGAGAACTCTATACTGGGAACAACTAAAGAATACCTCAGTAAATGGAGAGAAATACCATGTTCATGAATCAGAAGACTCAGTATTGTTAAGATGGCAATTCCCCCAAATTAATCTGACAGTTAACATAATCTCAACCAAAATCCCAACAGTTTATTTATTATATTTTAGAATATATATCAAAATATATGTATTTATATAACTTTAGAATATATATTTGTATGTGTGTATATATATATGTATGTGTGTGTGTGTGTGTGTGTGTGTGTGTGTGAAGCCCTGGTGGCACAGTGGTTAAGAGCTCGGCTGCTAACCAAAAGGTTGACAGTTGGAATTCACCAGCAACTCCTTGGAATCCCTATGGGGTGGTTCTACTCTGTCCTGTAGGGTTGCTATAAGTTGGAATCAGCTCGACAGTAATGGGCTTTTTGTTGTGGTTTATATATATAAAACAAAAGAGCCCTTGTTGCACAATGGTTAAGCACTCGGCTGCTAACTGAAAGGGCGGTTCAAACTCCATGGGAGAGAACAGACCTGGCAATCTACTGCCATAAAGATTACAGCCAAGAAAACCCTGTGGGGCAGTTCTTCTCTCACATGGGGTCGCTATGAGTCAAAATTGTCTTGATGGCCCCTAACAGCAGCAACATAAATTGACAAGCTGATTCTAAAATTTACATGGAAACATTGGCCAAATATTGGTGAGAATTTGGAGCAACTGGAACTATCACACTATGCCGATGGACTATAAGATATTTTAACTAATTTAGGAAGCAGTGTGGCCTTTTCTCATAAAGTTAAACATATACCTAGCCATGACCCAACAATTCTACTTATATTTACACAAGGCAAATGAAAACATGAATGAATTTTTACAACAGCTTTATTCATAATAAAAACTAGAAACAACACAATGACCACTAACTGGCAATTGAATAAAGAAATTGTGGTGCGTCCATATAATGGAATGCTGCTCACCAGTAGAAAAGAACAAACTGCTGACATACTCAGCAACTTGGATAAAGCTTAGAAGTATACTCAGAAGAAAAGGAAAAAAAAAAGTAAGATTACGTACTGTGGAATTTCTACCTATAAACTTTTAGAATGTACAAAACTAGTTTTTGGTGAAAGAAAAACTGGGGAGCACTGATTTTTCTAAAATGGTGGGAAATTAATGTAACATAGGACGCAGGAAATTATATCAAAATTGACTGTAATTTAAAAATGTAAAGCTTGGGAAGTGATCTTGATTTTCCAGGTTTTTTACTTTAACATCCAAAAGCCTGGAAAATCAAGATCACTTGCCAAGCTTTACATTTTAAATTGCATTCTGTCTTGGCATCTTCATTCTTTAGTCTCACCTCATGACTTTATAACTCAGTAGTAGCAATATTAGTTTATTATTGAGTCATAAACTTTCTTAAAGTTTATATGAAGTGGTGAACTATTTTAAATGCTTCTATCCTTGCCTTAATATAAAGTTTTGTATTAATTTAGAAATTTATAATACATCTTCTAGGATAAACGAGTGATTCAGGATAAGTATAATAATAATAATACATTTAAATTAAAGAGAATTATTAAATTCGGTGCGGTAATTTGTAATATAAAATGAAGACCAACGAAGAATTGATGCCTTTGAATTATGGTGTTGGCAAAGAATATTGAATATACCATGGACTGCCAGAAGAACAAACAAATCTGTCTTGG